GGGCGGGGCTTCCCGGACCCCCCCGCCTCCGGTGCCTCGCAAGCTTGGGTTACGGTTAGACCCCCCCCTTGGTACAAATCTGTACCGCCCCTGCCTGTACTGTGTGTACTGGCCATAGATATCATATAACACGGCCATGATATATATATAACGCGTTATATGATATCTATCGTACTGGCCATAGATGATGATATCGATATCTATTCATTGTGGTACTGGCGCATTGCAAACTCTACGACAGATGGCGCTCTCGTAGTATCGTATCGTATCGCATTTTGTCCCACTCTAGTTGTATATATCACACGGCATCACGACTTGTGCTTGATGAACCAGTAGGTGATACAGTGCGGGCGATATATCAGAGCGAATGTAAACTTGCATCTCATCATTTTCATTGATTTGCGCATTATCGCTCATTATCATGAGTTGTACGAAGCAAGGGGGTGATTAGGTAATCACCATTGGCAATGGGTACTGTACAGCAAGAGCTAGTTAATGTTGAAGAGGCTCTTGAAAAAGTCGGTAGACAAATTGAATCTCTATTGGGAAAACAAGACAGTTTAGAACAACAAAAAACTGAGCTCTTGAAAGCTCTAGAGAACCAGACTGTCTTGGAGAACCAAGACTGGAGTTCCACAGGTGAACCTATCTAACTCGTAGTTCACTAGCTGTACTAGTGACTAGTAGTGTATTTAGTCTGTTCACATAACATGGGATCTGATGTGGTGATGTGTTTCACTGTTTGAAATCAGAAATGCACGCCACGGTATTGGTAGTCCGAATTTACTGTGGCCCTAGTACGAGCTCTCCCCTTCTTCATTCGGATATTAATGCTGATAGGGTCTATGTCCCCCAGGTTACTGCCGGAACGTACCCTTACCTTGGGTACGGTCCGGTATACCGGAACGTACCCTGGTACTATCTCAATATGCGACCGCTTACTCGCACTACTCCATAAACGGTCTAGGGAGTCGGTCGCCTACGATGTGACTCCCTAACCATAACCCTTAACCATTCAAACTAGTTAACAGGGTTACGTTCCAGCATACACGAGCTCGTAGCTGATTACGCGTATCCTAAGGTTGTAAACCACCTCCGTCAGCAAATACCGGCTGTTCCGGTCTAGAGAATTACCCCAGTTGAAATTACCCTAGCCGCTGGCTGAGCAATGCGCCACGGCCACATGCGACACGACCGGTGTGGGTGTAAAGCGCAAGTAGCAAAAATTAGCTGAGCACTAGCCACCGTCAATTTTAGCCATTGTAAATATGACGCAGAAGCAGGTTTTTATTGCTCGCTCGGCGGCGGGCGCGGCGCGCCGGCTCGGGTGGGGGTTGTTTGGGGGGGGGGCGCGGCCGGGCGGGGCCGGCTCGTCCATACACGGGGACGTAGTGTACTATGGGACGCACGGCCGGCACGTGTCGATTAGATTCAATATGGCTATACGCACCAGCGCGTCCATGTGACGAGCTCACATATGGCTAGGATTGAGAAAGGGGAGAAGGGAGACGTGAGATGCGAGAAGAGCGAAGGGAGAAGAGGCGCGAGAGGAAGATGTGGGAGAGGCGAGGGGAGAGCTAGGGAGTGAACGCTGGATGGAGAAGGAGAGAGGGGAGAAGGGCTGGCTGTAGCTTCTCTTTCTCACCAGCTTCTCCCTCTTTCTACCAGCTTTGGCGCTCTAGAAATTTTTTGAAATTAGACCCCCTTAGATGCGTTTTCTGCGCGAGCAGGGGAGGGGTCCGGACTCCCTGGACCCCCCCCCCATGTACACGCCCCTGCATGGTAGGGGGCTCGGAGTCGGGTGCCACCATATTGGCCGGCCCGGTAGGAAAGTGTATTTGCGCCGATCTTTTTTATTCACTCCTGATAGTATCTATCGCGAGAAGTTTTACTTGTTAAACGAAACAGAAATGCCCATTCATTTCTTTCCTTACAAATTAGCCGTGATGGGTAGAATCGTGCAGTATGTATAATAGTGCGAGGTAATATATATATATCTATGCTTATAGTTCCTAGCTATATATAAAACTAATTATTTTAGAACAAATACTCACTCACTCACAGAATTTCTAACCATGTCAAATCATGTTGCAATACATGTATTTGTATAACAGTTACATGCCATAATGATTTAATAATAATAATGTGTTGCATGTGCATGTGCAAACAATATAACAAGTAAGAAATAAGAGTTGCGTTTTATAGTTTATTCACATGATTATCATATGACCATCACAGCGCCTAGGTGGGTATTATTTCTGGTAGAATGTAAACTGTGCATTGCGTCTACACACACATGCAGAAAAATAAATGCACGCGGCAGTGCATGCATAGCCACTAGCATCACAAAATAAGGAGGAATGCTTCATACCGAACATTGTGTATATTGTGGATATGCCAACAAACCACACAGATCACACAACATGAGAACTAGCTCATTGCACCCACATATCACAAGATTTCCACTCCTTTTCCTGCTCTTCCCCCCCCCTCTCTCTCTCTCTCTCTCTCTCTCTCTCTCTCTCTCTCTCTCTCTCTCTCTCTCTCTCTCTCTCTCTCTCTCTCTCTCTCTCTCTCTCTCTCTCTCTCTCTCTCTCTCTCTCT